CTGTCTAAAATTCTTTCCTCCTTACTAACTTAGAGATGATAATACCTGCATCCTAGAATTGCATGGGGATTCAATAAGAAACCCCAAACAAGGCAATTAGCACAATCTCTGGCACATAATAGCTCACTGCTTAATAAAAACTGCCTTATTTATGCTGATAGACACTCTTCCCAACGCACCAGAGACATGAGACATCAAAAGCGTTATATGTTTCTGCTGATAATATATGCATTCTCAGGGTATGAGTCATGCTTATTTTTCCCTGTAATAAGGATATGTTTTTACAAAATACAGTGAAGTAAAACATATAAATAAAAAATGTTAAAAATCGTCTTTGGTTGTGGAATAAATGATGTCTTGTTGAAGAAATCTATTTGTTCAATTAATATCTATTGACAATTTCTTCGATGCCTAGCTTCCTACCTTGCTCTGGGAATATAAGGAGGACAATTCAATCCCTACCCTGGGGGAGTGTGATTACCCACCTGTATGATCCAGAGTCCCCATTAAGGAGAGGGGGGTATGAAATGTTTCCAGACTTCAGAGCAGAGGCACCTGGCACAGTCCATGAGGGAGTCTGAAGACAAGTTTCCTAAGATGAGGTCTGCTAAGACTGGAATTAGTCAGAGGAGGGCAATCCTGTCAGAGGAAACAAGAGCGAAGGGAGAGAGGTCAGACAGAATTTGGGAAGAGAGGCTAAATGGCAAGTTATCTGGCTCCGCTGTAGCTTGTTAGTGTGTGTGTTTGTGGGGAGGGTGGGAGTGGGAAAGATGAGGCTAGGAAGATAAATAGGTAGCCAAAATCTCAGGAGCAATAGTAAGTGGCTGGGAAAGATGTGGGCTGGGATTTGTCCAGCCCAGTAAATCTCAACGGTGTCTGCATACTGGAATCACCTGGAACTTTAAAAAATGCCACATGCCAAAGCATAGGCCCCTAGACAACGACATATAAATGGCTATGGTGGAACTGAAGCATCATTTAAAAAAAAAAAAAAAGCTTTCAAAGTCATTCAGTAATAATATATAACCAAGATTGAAAAATGCTTTAATCTAACCCCTGAAATCACATTTACCCAAATTTGGATGTGAAAGTAACTCAATATAATCATGGACCTTTAGAACTGGGAGGAGGGGACCAGCAGGTGGCATAGTGGTTAAGGGCTCTGGACTCCCACATGGCCAACTGTGGTTCGAGTCCCAGACCCTGGAAGCTTGCTTTCTCACTTTTTCTCTCTCTCTGTCTCTCTCTGGCCAAATTAAAATAAATAAATTAATTAAGTAAAAATAATTATTTTTTAAAAAAAGAACTGAGAGGAAATTGAAAGCATACCTCATCTTACAACTGAATTTTAAAAATTTAATACTTAAAATTTTTATGTATTTGTTTTAATTGCAGAGGGCATGTGTGTTCCAGAGAGAGAGAGAGAAATAAAGAGAACACCACCTATGGGACGTGGCCATGACACAACTCCGTACTTTTTCCTCTGTTTTTCCATACCACCAGGATGTTGGGCATACACATGCACCGACATGTGCCTGTTGTGGTTTTAAAATAAAAGAAAAATACTAAGAGTTAGTATTTATGTCTAATTATAATACAGTATGGCATACGATAAAATTTGTTAAAACTTAGATATGTTAAAACCAAATTCTACACTAAGTTCTATTTGATTAGAATAGTCAACTCTTACACAGCAAATATGGATCTTCATAAGCCGTGGCACACATGGCATTGAGATTTGATCCCAACTCCAGAAACATCAAGTGGGATGCTTATCGCAATGTATCCTCTTGTGAAGAGAAGGACACTATACTTCTGAATCCTCTCATCCCACCTTGGAGCTCACAGATACAGAAATGATATGATGTATATTTTCATGGAATGATTTATGTGTTAAGATTTTCATAGAATCCAAAGAAGCTCATATTTATTTATAATCGCGCTTTGGCAATGCTAATTCCATTTTGAATGTCTTGACAGCATTAACTCCATTCTGACCGTATGAATTTTCATCTTGTAATACAAACTGAGCCACGTGGCTAGCTGATAGCCACCTTGACAAATGTGCAACAACATGCAAATAAGCTACTGAGTACCCAGGACTTTTTCCTCAAAAATTGACATCTGGAGGTTGAGATAATGCGTCTTTTTGGACTATAAATAGCAGTGCCTTTGAATTTTTATCTGAGACACATCTTACTATGATTCCACTCTTTATGAGGATTTACTCAATAAAGCACTGGCTGCCAGAGGTGCTGTCCCCGTGGGCAGTCCCTTGACCTCATCATTGGAGTCTCAGCAGCATTCTGGATGAATTTTTGGGCTTCATAGGGAGGGGAATAGTTTTCTGGACCATTTGGAGGTTTCTTCCATGAAGCCACGGTGTTTAGTTCATCACTAACACTTAGTGCTCCTGTGATGTGTTTTCTTCTCTTTTCTTTACTTATTCCCCTGTATGTTTGCCTGCTTCTTGCTTTTGAGTGTGTATGTGTTGCAATAAATTATTGGGAAGCTATCTTTGCACTATTTGGCCATGACATTTGATTTGGGAGCACAAGTACTTGTCCCCTAAAAGGGAAGTCAAGTTTTGGCCAGTTATCATAACTAAGTCACCTTTGTTATACCAGTACAACAAGAACCCATATGCTAAATTCTTAACCCTAAACTCTAAGACTATTTCTCATAAAAATTTCTCCTTTATAGCCTTGTCTGTATACTGTAACTATGTTATGTGTTTCGTGACCTTTTTCCTAAAAATAATGTTTCTTTAAAAAAGGATATTTCAATATTGAATTTTTATTTTTCTAAAAAAGAAAATTGGATTTATAAACATTTTTATTCCTAGTCTTTATGTAATCCACTATATTTCAGTTTTACTTATAATCTACTACCCAATAATTTCCCAAGGCTTTAATGTCATCTGAAGTCAGGTTCTACTTGGAGACCAAATAAACTTTTTTCTGAGTAGTATTCCTGAGAAAGCATTATGTATCTGGAGATGGCTGAGATCAATACAGACGGAGGAACTAAACGTGGTTTTTCTCTTTTTTTTTTTTTTTTTGAGATATTTTTGCTATCAGGCATGTGTGCTTGCCAGAGGGAGAGAGACAATGTGAGAAATCAATCCCTTTTCCTCCATTCCTTTCTTGGGATTTTAGGCACACACATACATGTGCCTGGAAAACTGCCGGGTCTGGGATTTGAACCATGATCAACTACATGGGAGTCCAGCAACGTAACCATTACACCATCTGATGGTACCCAAAAGGTGGATTGAATATTCTTCCTTTCCCTTTCTAGTTTCATAGTTTTAAGGATAACATAATTTCTCCCTACCCCTATCTTATCACATCTCATTCCTAACCCTGCCACAATTTTAATTATCCCTATCAGAGAGATTAGGAATATTCACTGGATTAAAAAACATGTCACCTGCACAGAATTTCCATCTGACTCCTATTTAATTTCTTTTTTTTAGAAATTCTTTCTTCCCTTTCTTCCTTCCTCCCTTTCTTTCAAGAGAAAGAGACAGGAACTCTTGACAGGGTCTCGTGACATCATGATCTCTCCCTCTCCCATAGCCTTCCAGCCAGCCAAGATTACGGGCATGTCTACAGGCATACTCAGCGTTTTCAGGTCAGGCTGACCTGGGGCCCAAACCCGGGGCTCTCCCTCATGGCCTCAGCACTGTGCAGCAGCATCCAATGCTTGTGCCATGCTACCTAGGGCCCTGTTTAATTTGAGTGTCATTTCCATTTCTTGCTCTGACCCTGTTTATACTCTCTACATCCTCAGACATTTCTCTGGGGAAATTTACTCAAAATAAACCCACAAACGCTAATGCAAATTCTCTGGAAAATAACTGAGTACACTTTTTTTTTTTTCCCCTCTAAGATAGAGTCTCATTTCTCTTCGGGCATCCATGTGGGAATTGAAATGACTTCTTTGGTAGCAGTAGTCTTCTTTATCCTCATCACCATGTATTTAGCCTACATTTTTATGATTCAATCTTGGAAATGGTTTTTAGAGTTTCGTGATCACTTCCTTAATAGTTCCCGTTTTTTAGGATTTTACTATGACATTAGCTATTGCCCATTTTATAAACTGCCTGAAAAATTAGAGCTTGAATTTTATTATCCAGCAGCAAAATGGAAAATCCCTCTCCTAGAATTCTAAGTGGGGGCAACAGGAGAGACTCTGGGTATATGCTTCCTCATTGACTAGGCCCCTCAGGGGCCTAAGACCTGAGCAATTTCTCTGCTTTGCTTACAACATACCAATATAGCTCAGCATGGCCTTAGCAAACTCATCCTGCCTTTTACTTGTCTTGCCTCGGTTTGTTTAGTGTACATGAAGTTACAAATCAAGTTTCATTTCCCTTTATCTATCAACTCTTCCCCTTTGTCAGGTGTTCTAGGCAGTTCCTTACTTCTTACCTTCAGTTTCTAGCAGTTCCTGGACTCAAGGCCAGCATAGAGCACTACAGTATCTCTCACAGGGATCAATGGCACTTGATGAAACACCCAGACCCCCACAGTCTCTTGGTCTGTTATTGCATTGCTTACAGAAATACCTGAGAGTGGTGAATTTAAGACAACAGTTTATTTGACTGGCGATGTGAATGGTCCAAAGGCATCAAAAATGGCAGAGGACAAGATCTTGAGCAAAGCAGCTAGTGGCGTGGTGGTTAAAGGCACTGGACTCCCACATGGCCGACCACGGTTCAAGTCTCGGACCTGGTGGCTTGCTTTCTCACTTCCTCTCTCTCTCTCTGTCTCTCTCTGATCAAATTGAAAAATAATAATATTAATAATAAATAAAGTTAAATAAAATAATTCTTTAAAAAAAAAAAGATTCTATCTGACTCTGGTTTCCCTTCCCCTCTTATAAACATACTAGAACTCAATCATACAGACCCTGCCCTAATGGTGTATTACACCCAAAGGCTTCATCTTGAGATACCATGAAGAGATTAGGTTTTCACTTTCCACCTTTACAACACAGCCAAGTACTAACATACGATTTGTGGAGTGACATCCAAACTATAGCATTCTGTCCTGGCCCCCCAAATTCATGTACTTCTTACATACAAAATCATCTTAATATCACCCTCACCTCCCCACATTAAGGTATCAATTCAGTCTAATACCAACTCCAAAGTCTGAAGTTTCATCTGAAACCCAATAAACTCCTTCCAGCTGTGAGCCTGGGAAGCAAAAACAAATTACATTCTTCCAAAATACAATGGTGAAACAGGCATGGAGTAGAAATCTCCATTTCACCAGAAGAAAGGAGTATCAGGTCCCAAGAAAGCCTGAAATCCAAGAAGGCAGACATTTAATCTTCAAACTCCATGTGCCACATCCTGTGTGCACTGTGGGGCTGGGGGGGCTCCTGAAACAACAGGAAGCCTTGTCTCTCCAGCTTGGCTGGGCTTAGTACACACTTCAGTTTTCTCCAGCTGGAGTCTCATATCTGCAGTTCTTTCAGACCGGTGCTCACTCCATAATTCTGGGGTCTTAAGTGTGGCCAAATCCATATAATTCCACTAGATACTTCCTTTCTTGTGGGCTCTCACTGTTCTACTTGGCTTTCCCTAATGGAATTTTTCTGTCCCTGAGGTAGGTATCTGCTTAAAC